ATATCATGGCAAATATTAAAAACAAAAAACACCAAAAGGACAAATAATTTTTACGGCAAATAGTGTGCATCCATACATACATTAAATCAAATCTATCCATCTTTTTAATGCATTCTTGCTGCTAAATAGAATTACTTTCTTGAAAAATAAAAACCCTTTACTTACAAAACACCCCAAAACAAAACCTTACTATGCTTGTTTAAAAAAATAGATATTATTCTTATTTTTGCAACCCAGGCTCATTATTGTTACATACCCCTACATACTTCTCTGGAGATCACGAGATATGCCCCAGCAGGTACTTTTTTTCTGCAGTTTTTGTTTTCATGAATCCACAGAGAACGCTGTGTACGCTTTTTCATATATCAAATTACTCTTGCGAGTGCCATTGCCATAAATCCACCAGAGACCCCTGTCGTCTGACTAACTAACTGACTGACCGACCGATAACCCCCCACCCCGACTCCACCCTCTTCCTTAAACCCAACCAATAGTATTTTTTAAAAACACCAATTGGCCCGCCCCCACCTTCCATAATTCCAACCGACAGTGTTTTTAAAAGCAACCCAGAAAAGGAAAAGCCCTCACAGCCGCCTGATTTTTACCAAATTTTCAGATCTTACTACGTTCTCACCCTGTTATTTACTTGTTTGTTTTTTGCCTTTTGTTTTTGTTTTACCTGCTGTCTAGAACAGTTTTTTTTACCAAACTCGAACACTGTCATTGCTGTCAACTTCTCTCTGCATTTTAAGTCCACTGACGTACATGGCGAGCTACTGAGCAAACTGGTAACAGCGAAAAGCTGTTCACACAAAGGTAAATGGTCAGCTAGTAGCATGAAAAGGAACAGAAGCCATCAGCGCCATCATACCACCCTGTAATTTTTGTTTAAAAAAAGAAATGCAGCCATATGTAGCTCTGGCTACATAATTCACACTCTCCAGAAATGTATACAGAGGTATGTTTTCACAATAAGCCTTGGTTTTATTTTTTCTTTTGATTTTGACATTTCTTTGTGAGATTAACCCAGCTGTAGCATAGACAATGACAGTCAGACAAGCATAAGCAAACACACTAAAAAAAAAAGGACATTGTTTGCCCCATGCAGTCCTCTAGACGAGACAGCTGAAGCTCAGTGTCATCTCCACCGTAAGCACATTTAAAAGAGAGAAAAGCACATCCACAGCCCACAATCTGACAGTGGGTCCAAAAGGAGGTCGCTGACAACTTACTGTTTCTGCTGACAATGAGGAGGGGTCTTGTGGCAGGGTCTGGGAACGTGGACACAGAATTAAAATCACTAAAAATAACGTATTATATCATACGTCATGGAAACAGCTGCGTTTTCTGAGACCCAGCATGCATTTATTAATAAATGAATGCGATGAAGGTGGAGGAGAAATTGAAGCGCTTGCAGTGTTTGTTTTGAACATTAGATGCTAATGCCTTCATTGATACTTGACACGGTTAAACTAAAAACAACAACTTGAGAATCATTGCTTTAGAGATGCTTCAGTATCCTGCTGGCTTCTTGAGAAACTACTTAAAGTGATTACTTAGAGAGCAGCTATTCAGTCAGATGAGAGTATTCATGGTTGGCAGATGAGAGAAACTTGGTGTGAGAGGCATTAGATGATAAGCGGTTTTAAAAATGAAGATGTTAGTTGTGCTCTTATTAGTTTGGGCTGGTGATCCACAAACTAATCTGCTTTATTTGTCTCTAGCTTTCACTTACTGTGGCTCTGCCTCTGGTAGGACTGCCACCTGAGGCTCTGACAGGCTGTAGGGGAGGAAACGGGTTGAGTTTGGTTACTCTTTAGAGTTTTTCAGTGACTCACGCTATCAGGGGCTTTTTCTAGGTTTTGATTACCACAGATAATAATTTTGTTATCAGAATCACACTTTTTTTGGAAGTCTAAGTGGCTAGTTGGTGCAGTACAAAGTAAAATATACTTCTATGCTGTTTTTGAAGTATAAAGCAACTTACTGGCATCAAATAGATTGGTTAATTACTTTTTTTGTGCAGTTGTATGTGCTATATATTACTTTTATATAAACCCGATATCATGACCAGCTAAATATTCAACCTGGATACTTTTTGTTTTGTGTTCCAAGTGAAATCATTCAAACAAGATAAATGAAGTAGAAGTTAAATACATTTTATACTTGCTTTATTATTTCAAGTAAAAGAAAAAAAAAGTCTAGAAAATATATATTTTTCAGGTGTTTACGGTCAATTATTTTCAGATCTTTAGGGTAAATTTTTTGTGACTTTTAATTTTATTTAGTTTAATATAAACAAATATAAAGCTAAATATAAACAAACAATAATAAGTCAAGATATTGCACATAGGCACGTTCTATTCGACTGTATAAGGGTCAATAATTTTAGTTTCTTTTCTTTCTTTCTTTCTTTCTTTCTTTCTTTTTTCTTTCTTTCTTTATTTCTTTCTTTCTTAAAAAAACCTTTTAAGCAAGGATGCTTCAACTGATCAATAGGGAAACTTTTCAAAGTTAAAATAAAATTATGAATTAGGCAGTAGATTCTTTTCAAGATTTTTTTTTCTCAATAAATAATGTGCATAATCCCCACTGAGATTGTTCTTTTTGAAAATGCTAATTTTGCAAATGACACGTTTAGCTCAGATCTTGAATATAAAATAAACCGTTTGAAACTGAACTGTAGAACTGTGAAATAATGCAAACAAACACATATCAGTGATTCAGCGTGTACATTTAATAGTGTTAAAAAGGTTTAATATGTATTAATTAGATTATAAACCTTACCATTTTGTGAGTCAGTGCATATTTTGAATGGCTTTATTTAAATTTCTGTCATGTTATGTCTGGTGCAAACAGCCAAATTGCTTATCATTGCAAATCTCGTCACATAGTGTGTTGTTAGGACACAGGCTTACAATGTAACCTGATCACCTAATGTTTACGTTTGTAATATTTATATTTTTGCCAAATTAATAACCACCTCATGTGAACTCTGAATTGGCATCTCATTTTGGTGTCTGCTACTGCCCACCTGAGGTTGCATTTCGGTCATAAGCGCATGCTTTGAGAACTTTTCTGACTGAATAAACAAAATACGCGGTTTTCCAACAAGGCAACCCGGGGTGCTGAAAACAAAGACAGCGTTATGGAAGGCCCTTTTTCAAAGCTGAATTTCTGACTTCAGCATTGTTTTTTTATTAAAATTATTTTATAAATTAATTTAATTTATATCAATTTATAAAGAAGTAAATCTCTGCAAACATATTAGAAGAGTCAAAAACTTACATACAGCTCCTTTAAACATTTTCAGTGTGAATAAACAACTTTTCAAAATTGCCTGGAAATACTACAATGAGTTCACAAGAAGTCTACTGTCAGTGCTTTGTTGTAGCTAGAAGGCCATCTGCCACATAAAATGTGCCAAAGTAATTGGCGGTTCATTCCGCTGTGTTGACACCTGATTTTCTGATCAAGGACAAGTCAAAATTGTTGTCTGTGGTAATCAACCAAAATGTCCCTTTAAATTATCCATTTAAATGTGCATTTAATCATTGCAGACTGTGGTAGATGTTGTTTATGGGCAGCAGGGGGCGCTGTGACACTGCTGTCTCTACACAGAGAAGGCGCACAGACATATTCAGGTATAATAGAGCAGAGTTTAATTGACAACGGGAACCCAAAAGCAGTAACAGACAATTAAAAAACAGACAAAAAAAAAAAAAAAAAAAAACCAACAACACTTTTTTCATGCATAGACATACAGCTAACATGTTGACAGGAATACATGCAATATACACATAATGACATACAGAGAAATGTGCACAAACACACACTTGCTCACATCTGCTCTGTCTGGGGCCCGAGAGACTCAACCAATAGTGTTTTTAGGAACATCAATGGGGTCAGTATAGGATAGGGATGATTATAATGGTGGAGAAGGTGGTGGTGGAGTTGTCTGGTAGTGGCCGAAAACACTCAGAATTGGTGATGAAGACTAAAACAGTGGTTCTCAACAAGGGCCCAGAACATTAAAAACCTTAAAATGTCCAAATATGTCACAAGATGACATTAAAACATTTAAGAATAGAAAAAAATATGATTAATGTTTGAATAAATATAACTAAATTATAACATTAATTCAAGATTTTAAAAAAAAAATACTCAGTTGTTATTATGCTTTTTGAAGAATGTATATGCTTGGAATAAAGATTTAAATTTGGGGTTCACATATAAATTTTTTAAGGTATTTAACCATAAATTGGATGAACTAAATTGGCCATGGGGTGACATTGTGGCTCAGTGGGTAGCACTGTTGCAAGAAGGTCGTTGCTTCGAGTTTCGACTGGGTCAGTTGGCATCTCTGTGGAGTTTGCATGTTCTCCTCGTGTTCGCGTGGGTTTCCTCTGGGTGCACCGGTTTACCCCACAGTCCAAAGATATGCGCTATAGGTGTATAAGCTAAATTGGCTGTATATGTGCGAATGCAAGAGTGTATGGGTGTTTCCTAGTGCTGGGTTGCGGCTGGAAGAGTATTCGCTGCATAAAACATATGCCAAAATAATTGATAGTTCATTTCCCTGTGACAACCCCTGATAAATAAGAGACTAAGCTGTAAAAACGATTGAATGAATGACTATTTAATCATGTTAATTCATTACATAGTTCAGTAAGATTTAATCTGAAAACATTAACATCATCTTTCAGTATTTCCTAATAAATAATTAAACAGAGATTATTCTGTATTTGTTATGCACTTTATGCAACTAACACGAACAAAGATATTTTTGTAAACAAATGAAACATTACTGTAAAGTTTTACCAAAACATTAATAAATGTATTTTTTAAAACAATTAGCTTTGTCATAAACAAATAAAAACTTAATTACCATACCGACTGAGATTGCTTGAGTCATCTTGTGACATCATGACCAGTTTTTGGTTGATTTAAATGTTTTTTGGTAAGTGCTGTGGTAATATTTCAGTTTATCATTTCTTCAGTTTCAGGCCACCTGTTTAGTGCACACCTAGGTTGGATGCCAGATTTCAGGCTTATTTAATTGAAATGCAGTATTAGAGTATTTGCAAATGCATACTTTTTTTATCTAACCAGTGTAAACACAGCCTTATTTTGTATCAAAGATACATTTGAAAGTGTTAAAAAGGTTCAGAACCACTAGACTAGACAGTCTGCATCTCCAAACTGAAAGACATGGATGTCTAATTTATTAAGGATGTCTGATTTGAGGTAAAATGGCTCAAGTTTATTATTTAAAAAAATAAAATAAAATTAATCTGAAGTTCAAAAATTAAAGCAATAAATATTTATAAACATATAGAGTCTATATCTATCATGTTAGGTCTTAATAGCACATTGATTGTTTATTAGAAAGACACTAAACTCATTTTACCTCTCCAGGGCTGTGCCTTCCTTGTCTTTCCAGGGTGGAGGAGGTGGAATGGAGAGACTCATAGGATATCATGTCTGGACGCTCTATGTCATAAATGGCCTTGACTCTGGGAATGGCTGCTAGGTCCTTGTAATCAATAATCTCATTGTCTACTTTTGCCTGGAGTAAGGAGAGGATGAGGGGACGAGGGGCAGGGGACACATAAGAGGAGAAACACAGGGAGAAAAGGTGTTGATGAGGAAGAGGTCAGGGAACAGGTCAGAGGATATCCACGTTACATCTGACTAGGGTTGTCAAAAGTATTTTGATACAAAATGATACTGAAATATTTGAAACGAAACAATATCTCTTTTCCACAGGATCAATACCTGCCACGCTCACTCTTCAATAGTGAGTTCACCCACAGTCTACCGCCACAGTTTCACTTTGTTTATTTACAGTATTAACAAACTTTTTGAATTTGATTTACAATTGATACTTCTACTCAATTTGCATTTCAGGATTTATCAGTTTAACAATAAATCACAAGTCACCGGAGGGAATATAATATTCATGCGTTGTTTGTGCGTCTCTAATAACGCACGCAAATGTGGAGTTCTCTGTAAAATTTTGTGCGCTTTAAAGTATTTGCTAAATTTATGTCAAATTTCATAAAAAGTACCAGTCTTTAAAGCCTGCTCTCACAAGGAATTGTAACCTTTTTTACGTTTTGTCAGTTTAGTTGCTAATTCGTATGTATTTGTATGTGTTCAGTCTTTTTGGCATGGCACCACATTCCACCCCAACCGTCATTGGGGATAAGCAACCCACATAGCAAAATTTCTCTGGCCCAGCTCTGGCCCACACAATCAGGTTTTGCTTGGCCCACATGCCGCAGTGAATTGCGGTACATGACTGGACCAAATCTGGCTTCCAGACAAGGGCCAAACACAGACCATATCTCGGCCAAGTCTCAGCCAAGTTAATAACTCATAACTGGGTCTGAACTGGGTCAGATAGGTTGGTGTGTCACGATTGCAATGAAATTGATAAACCCATAGAGTGATGCTCTTTAGGCACACTATGGGCACGCTTTTTCTCAAAGTGACCTGATTGGTAGAATTTTTTTTCTTTACTCAAAAATGATTTTAGTGTATTTTAAATGTGGGTCAAAACTGGCCAAACTCACATGGCCTACTTATCAATCTGGGCCAAATACTACGTTTTTCATCTGGCCCAAATCTTGTGTGCCGCCTTAAAAACGGTGCCACCTCTGCCAAACTCGGGCCATGTTTGGCCCACACGCTGTATGCCAGTGCCGGATGAATGCCTGCTGTGCCAGCTTTATGCCAAATCTGGGCCAGAATTCTTTGCTACTAGGGAAATCATATTTAATTGTACGAATGAGAGGATAAGAATTTCTACAAATAAGCCACCAAATCAAAAAGTTATGAATTGCCATGAGATTGTTGGTCTTTAAGACACAAAACCCATCTATTATACGTCTCTAAAGTGAAAGTACTTCAGTAGCGCAGTCAGTAACATTCATCAATAACAATAGACTAAGCCCCTCTGGTGTATATATTTTTGTTACTTACTCCCAGGGCCATTTATATTGAAGTTGATATTTAGCCCCACCATATTGGTGTTTCATAACATCTAGTTTTTATGTGGTGGGTTGTTAGCCCAACACTCAACCTCCAACCTGGACATACACACATACACACTGGACAACTTAGCATACCCAATTAACCTACAGCTCATACCTTTGGACTGTGGGGGAAACTGAAGCACCCGGAGGAAACCCATGTGAACACATGGAGAACATGCAAACTCTACACAGAAATGCCTACTGACCCAGCTGGAGCTTGAACCAGTGACCTTTTTGCTTTGAGGCGACAATGATAGCCACTGCACCACTGTGTTGCCTGTATATATTGTTGTTATTGGTTAAAATTTGCTTACTTTTAATTATTATCTTTAGTAATGTTTTAACTATATAAGTTTGGCTAGCAGTTTCTTCTTGAATACCAAAATTGGTATTTAACAAAAGCTAAATTTATTAGTATGTTACATGGATAAAATCGATAAAAATAAGAAATATTTTTATTTTTGCGGCAATTCGTAACTTTTTTATTTAGTGGCTAATTCAGATTCATTTGTAAGATTTAATTCAACTCGTACAATTGTACAATTTAGTACAATTTGCTCATCCCCCAATGAGAGGTCGGGTTAGGGGTGGGAGTTGTGCATTTTCATACAAATTAAATCATATGACTTGCTACAATCAGCCAATTTTTCAACAATTTTGCTCATGAGATCGGGCTGGTTAGACCAGTAAAATGTTTGGAGGGGAAGCGAAAATGTGAACAATAGTCCAGGCAAATAATAATGAAGACAGGCATAAATATTGTAATTTTAATTATTGCTGTGGCAATATTTATCTGTGGTATTGAAAATGGTATTGAGTATCATATTGTGTCATAGAAATTCCAGTATCGGACACTACATCCATCCAGAGCTACAGCTCTCACAGGGTCATCACACAAAGGTTGTTTGGAGGCATATTTATGAGAAAAGCTACCATCTTGCTACCATGTGACATTCTGTGCTGTTGTCGAAGATTCTCTATATATTTGTTTACATGCTGAAATTATGTCAAATACAAGGCAAAAAGTGGAAAAATGTTGAAAGGAACTCCTGTGCTTTTCCTGCATATCCTGGAGTTTTTTTTACACATTGACCCTGAAGTAAACCAGCTTCAGAATCCATTGTGGATCGAGTGGTAAGATCTGACAGACTCTGGAAACGATTGAGGGCGTTGGTGACTGGGACTCACATAGATGGTGTGACCTGGAGATCCAGGGATGCTGGAACCAGGTCTCGAACAGATGCTCTCAGACGAAGACCTCGTGGGCTGCGGGAGAACAAGATGTTGTGTTAGTAATTATATAAGCATACATACTCATTCAATACTCCCCTAGATGCCAATGGGTAGCTTGAAACGTTTGATTAGCTATAAGTGAGAATTTTGTCATCAGTTACTCAACCTCATGTCATTCAGCTAGCTTAACACACAACCCTGTTACCCGTAACAAGTAGCATAAAAACAATTACCAAGTATTTTTTCTATTTCTTTATTTTTTTGTTCAATCATTCATTTATTCATTCAATCATTTATTTTTTTATTTATTTATTTGTTCACTTAAATATTTATTTATTAAATAATATTAGCTGTTCCAAATTACAGCAGTTTTGCAAAAACACATAAAACTGAACCAAATATAAAATTAGTTTTTACTGTATGTAAACTGTTACCATAATAATGATCAAAAAACTGTTTTTCTTTATTATTAATATTTAAATTACTGTGAGATTTTCTTTTTGTTAAAATAACACTAACCCTTTAATCATATTGAAAAGCGCATTTTTAAAACAAATAAATTAGATTTAAAATTATATAAAATGTAGATCATTTTATTAATAATAATTAGATTAGATTAGATTAGATTAAACTTTATTATCATTACACATGTACAAGTACAAGGCAACGAAATGCAGTTCATGTCTAACCAGGAGTGCAAGTGCAGGATATGATTATAAGTTAATTAACAATCAGAGGTATGCAGAGATATGAACATAATTACAAATGTACAGTTAAAGTCAGAATTATTAGCTGTCCTTTAATTTTTTTATTTTTTAAATATTTCCCAAATGATGTTTAACAGAGCAAGGAAATTTTCACAGTATGTCTGATAATATTTTTTCTTCTGGAAAAAAGTCTTATTTGTTTTATTTTGGATAAAATAAAAGCAGTTTTGAATTTTTTAAACCACTTTAAGAACAAAATTATTAGCCCCTTTAAGCTATTTTTTCCCGATAGTCTATAGAACAAACCATCATCATACAATATCTTGCCTAATTACCCTAACCTGCCTAGTTAACCTAATTAACTTAGTTAAGCCTTTAAATGGCACTTTAAGATGAATAGAAGTGTCTTGAAACATATCTATTCATCATATCTATTCCATCAACATGTCATCATGGCAAAGATAAATTTCATCAGTTATTAGAAATGAGTTATTAAAACTATTATGTTTAGAAAAGTGTTGAAAAAGTCTTCTTTCCATTAAACATAAATTGAGGAAAAAAAATTAACAGGGTGGCTAATATTAGCTATCAAGGGGCTAATAATTCTGACTTCAACTGTATATGTGCTGTGCGTATGTACAATTCAAGATGAATTAATGTAACGAAGTGAAATGAATATGTACAATTTTAATTGCAAATATTAAATAGTGCAGTGTTTATGGGAAGAATAATTGTAAAATAATAATTTAGTGTTCATGGGGGGGGGGGGGGGGGGGGGGGCATAATTGTGAAATAATTAAGACATATTAAAATGATTATGCAAGTTATTATGTGTTATTGTGTTTTTGACCTACTTCATTTGGACACTAATTATCATCTTTGGTTTACAATAAAAGTTAGTCCACAGATCAAAATAATCATACTTTTTGCAAGATTGATGAAATATTTTATATAATAAAAAAGTACTTTAAGGTCAAATGTCAAACAAACAATCATGGAAGTGCACACTCTTGAAATCGCCTCTAAATTAACATAAAATCTAGTCAGTGCTTGATAAAATAAAAAATAAAATAAAATAAAATAAATTAAATTTTAAAACTAAAATATATTTTTTAAATTCAGTAAATACAAAATTAGCCAATTTATTACATCCAAACTCAACCAATTGTTTGTTCAAATTGATTTTAAATGAGCTGCAACACAATTATTCAGTTTTTTTAACAACTTAATTGATGTTTGATCCACTTAAATCTGTAAGAACTAATGAGTCAACTTAATTCTTTCATGTTGTCCCAACACAAATCGATTGTGTGGAACTTTCAACTTTTCAACTTTCAGCGTTTTAAGTTCAACATTCACACCTATAATGGAGTAACTGAGAACAAAAAATAATTTCTGAGGCGAAGTTGGCACGTTCCTAAGCTTTCATTCAGTAAAAATGAGAAAACCACTGGACTTCCAGCTCATATAATATTCCAGTGCAAGCCTGCCCAAGATGCATTCTGTCTCACATCAACGCAGCCAGTGAAAGCTAATTTCTCAGATATGACACTCCTCCAAATGTCACCAAAAATGCAGCAACTGTTCAATCTTGAATATAAATTAAGTTATACATGGTGAGCTCATATCTGAGAGCGCTCTGCATGAAGAGTCAAACAAGTCCTGTAATGGTGAATGGAGCGCTGGAGGGCTCGAGCCACATGCGTGAAAAGCGTAATGATTCACACACAGGCTGTTATGGGCTACCTTGGCCACAATAGGTTGGGTGACTGGCAGTGCAAGAGCCGCAAAACATACTCGGGTTGCCCCAACTCTGCTGCCAGAAGCAGAATACAGTACCTGCCTTTCTGATTGGTGCAGAGAAGTTACTGAGGGCGGCAGGGGCTGTAAAGGGAGGAAGAGGCATCACAGGATATGACATCACACTTTGAACAGAACACTTTAATCATCCTCTGTCAGCGCTCATTTAAATGAAGCACTATTTTCCATTGTCATATATTCACAGCCTTGCTTGCTATCCTGTGCATGCGGGCAGATTCTGATTTGGGGTTTGGTGGGACATGAGGTTATTTTTGTGTGTGTGTTTAGAATGCTAATTTGCAAGATTGAAGGGCAAGCATATTTGTGTTGTGTTCACGTGCTGGTTTACTCTTGCTGAGGAGGATGTGGCTACTGGTCAAAGTTTTAATGTCTCATTACAAGTCTTGTAAAGTCACCAAAACTACAGTAATAAAAACAGTGATATGGTGAAATTATTTTAATATATTTTAGTTTCTTTTTCTTTCTCTTTATTAGTAATAGTATATTATAATAACTTTATTCAGTTTCACTTGACTCCCTGTAGGGGGGAAACATATAAATCTAACTTACGATTCTTATGTACAATACAGAAAAAAGTAATTAGAATGGAGCATATACAAATCCTTTATTTCCTAAAATTGAAGATACTTAAGTTTAATGATTTGGTTCAATTTAAAACAGCACAATTTATGTTTAAAACTAGGAATAAATTACTTCTAAACTGCATACAAAAGTTCTTTGAAGAAAGACAAGGGGGATATTATCTGAAAGAAGAACAAAATCTTAGGAGATTGAAAACAAGGACATTATGGAACAGTCTGGAACCACTCGCCTCGAATGTTATCACTTGATTGAATGGATGGATGTTGTCAGTGGTTATCAGCTGATAGATATGAACCAGTAGGAGCCTTCTGCTCCTTAACGTGGGCCCAGAAGACATTATTATCCATCCACATGGTTAATCAGCTATATTAATAGAGAAGACTCCATATCCAGATCTGTTTTTACATTACTGTGACTGTTGGGTTTAGGGTTGGGGTAGGGGAAGACATAAAAATAATAAATTACAATTAATGGGAAATTTAACAAATAATATAAATAATTCTTCTCCAGCTGTAGCCGTATGTGATCTACAGCTGATTAACCATGAATGGAATGGATGATAATAGCCTTCTGAACCTACCAGTAGGTACCGGACCATATCTATCAGCTGATAACCACTGATAACATCCATTCAATCAAGTGATAACATTCGAGGCGGGTGGTTCCAGAATGTTCTATAATGTCCTTGTTTTCAATCTCCTTAGATTTTGTTCTTCTTTCAGATAATATCCCCCTTGTCTTTCTTCAAAGAACTTTTGTATGCAGTTTAGAAGTAATTTATTCCTAGCTTTAAACATAAAGTGTGCAGTTTTAAATTTTTACAAAATCATTAAACTTAAGTATCTTCAATTTAGAAAATAAAGGATTTGTATATGCTCCATTCTAATTACTTTTTTCTGTATTGTACATAAGAATCGTAAGTTAGATTTATATGTTTCCCCCCTACAGGGAGTCACGTGAAACTGAATATAGGTATTATAATATACTATTACTAATAAGGATAAAGAAAAAGAAACTAAAATATATTAAAATGATTTCAACATATCACTGTATAACTGTCTTGAGTGAGAACACTCGAATCGGCTGCTGGAACAGATTCTCAAACAATGTCAGGATATTAATCAATTAAAAAAGTTGTATAAATTTATAATAATAAATTATTGCTATTATTATTATTATTATTATTATATCTGCCAACACTGTTTTTCCCGGGAGTCTCCGGTATTTCATACCACACTCCCGTTTTGGTCTGTCTCACAGAATTTTAGTTATCATAAGTTATCATAAGACAAATTAATGTCAAATAATTATGTTTCTAAACAATAAGACAATATATTAATAGCTTATTTAATCAAAATAAAATCTAAAATAACAATCTATTTTTTTCTCTACAATTACAAAATCAGCAGCTTTGAACAAAAACTTGATAGTCCTCATAAGAAAAATGATAAAGCTTATTTTCTTAATTTATGGAAAATGTAAATATTTGAATAATAAAAAAGGGTTTCAAAATCCAGAATAAAACTAAAATAAATGTAATTTTAAAATATATAAAAAGTAAAACATGTACATTAAATAAATTTTACAATGTTACTGTTTTTATTTATTCCTTATCTAATAATAAAACTTTGGTGAGCACAAGACACTCTTCATTGTTGGAAACTTTTAACCAGTGATGTAAGTTAACCAATGTGAAGCTAGAAAAAACCACACAGCAAACTACTCTTGCTTTAGGGTAAAGCAGGAAAATTGAAGGGAGTTGAGTTAGCCGGAAGCTTAGCAGTTTGGAGGGAGTGCAGAGCAGAAGACTGCCAACCTCACGCCTGCCCAGGGGATGCCGGCCCGGCCCAGAGCCACCTGGGCCCTGGCTCTGAATCTGAGACTGAGGGTAAAAGATATCAAACGGACTGGCTTTTCCTTTAGGACGCTGCCAAGCTGCCTAAGGAGGAGAATCACAACAGAATGGAGAAAATACTACAGACAAACACACACATGCACTCTCTTCTCTCGCTTCAGCTGCTGCACCTGAGACTTAAAGGCTCCCTGAAGTGCTCTCAAAACAGCAGCTTTGTTCAAAGTGTGTGTGTGTCATAATTACAGCTGAAACAGGAAGACAGGGCGGGTTATATATCCTTAGTAGCTCCTCCCCTTTTAAAAAATGGCCAATAGCATGTTGTCATTGACCTAAAGTGCATTTGGCACAGTCTATAATAGCGATGCTGAGCCAGGCCCAGTCCACACGAACACGGGTATTTTCAAACATTTTAAAAATAATTTTTTTTCTATGTGGTTTGCATGTTTATTTACATCAGGTGACGGAAGCCAAAACTTTCTGAAAACTCTAGCCAGGGTGAAGATATTACAAAATTACAGTGTGGTCATGTGGCCACTACAACTGGAGTTTTTGCCTCATGATATCAGCGTGCGCGCTGTTTTCTACTTTCTGATTGACCAGCATGGCCAAGCGCCAAGCGCAGACGACGCGATTGAGCCAATATCTGCACCTTTGTGGCAAAAACATTGAATTCTGCATCATTTGCCCCTTGGGACAGTAATGTTTGCCGCCTCTGTTCCCACATTTGCATTGACTTGTATGCAATGTACATGTACTTGCACAAATACTTAATTCCATGTTTGCTGTGAACCCTTAACATGCATCACAGTGTGTTCATGTGAACAGAGATTATTTTAAAAATGATGGTGGGGAAAACTTTTCATAAAAATACTCGCCTCAGTCTAACTGTTTCTCTGTTTAAAAACACAGTACTCAGTATATAAAATATGGGTCCAATGCGTTTTGGGGTCTACACCGCTGTGGCAATTTGTATATGCAAAACCAGACTTCATACACTCCAATGGAGAGCTAATTTAAGCTGAATCCTTTATCCTTTAGCCTATATGATGTCACATTCGCCCTAAATAGAAAATTGTAATTGTGTGTAACAGGTTTAGAATGTCCTGCTGTTGTTGCCTGTATTCTGACCCTGAATGCAATGCATTTTCCCCATCGGGTCTTGCAGTAGATACACATTCGGAAATAAAGGTACAAAATCTGTCACTTGGGTACACAAAAAGTATGTGGCGCGGTACGGTACGGTATGCTTTTATGTCCGTTTTCACTGTCAAAAGGTATCAAAAATCAAACTGTACCTTACCACTTTTTTTGGGTACCCGTTTGACCAGTTTCCACTGAGTGGTGTGGTATGGTTCAGTACGCTTTTATGGCCGTTTCCACTGTCAAAAAGTATCAAAAATCAAACCGTACCATACCACTTCTTTGGGTACCCTTTTGACCTGTTTCCACTGAGTGGTATGGTATGGTACGGTTTGGTACGCTTTTATGGCCGTTTCCACCGTCAAAACGTACCAAAAAGCAAACCGTACCATACTACTTTTTGGGTACCGTTTGCATGACAAAAGGGTACCCAAAGGCGAAGCCAGACATGCAGCTAAACGTTATTGATTTACAGAAAAATGTCACTAGCGCGTACACAAACGAACAATGAAAACAAAGAAACCACTATTTTTAGATACACAGTTGTACATATGATAACGAGCCATGGTTGACCCGAGCTCAAACAAACCTAGTCATTGTCTTGATGAACAGCCACAAAGCTAAGAAGAACACAGTCTGCCGTGTCCTGTTTTTGTTTTACGAGGCCGTCTAAAAGTGCGATCGATTTCACTTTAAACTTCTTAAGCTGATGATAATAACATGTGCGTGATAATTGAAGTGCTTCTGACATCCGCTTTCTTTAGAAACAGATAAACAACACAAGTGCAGTGCGAAAAAACAAAGGAGCAAATTATTCTTTTAGCAACCTAAAACATGAACAAACGGCCATTTTTAACTATCATCATCACCTGTTGGACTATTATGGACTTGGAATAACGGAATTACTCTCTAACATAGGTTACATGAGCTGGTGAAGAATAAAGATACAGATGAGAGGTTTGCACTGACTGTGGGCTATATTTTGTGTTGTTTTTGAACTCAAATAAGGCTTAAATGTATGCTGTGTGTAGTTTTTTCTGTAATTGGTAACATATCGGAGACTGTGAGGGTCTGTATGTGTTCATATACTGTATATTGCATTTATTTATTTATATAATTGCAGACGTTACAGTAGGTAGATTACATAATTGATCTGCAGTTATAATCAAATAATTTTCATAGAAAGGTTAGTAATGAACATTTATACACAAGTATTTATGTGTATAAAGCATCTGTTTTGTGTCAAGTGTTTGTCATGTGGTATGTGAACTACCCATACAGCTTTACTCGAGCGAGAATGACGCCAACTGAAACTTTCTGTCATACATCACGGCCACCAAAAGGGTACCATTGGCAGTGGAAACGCAAGCCTGATAAAGGTGACCCATACCAACCCATATTGTACGGTACCACTCAGTGAAAAACGGGCAATTAAGGTATTATTTTGTACCTTTAAGGATATGTTAAGAACAGAAATATACCTTTTAAAAAGGTACCACCTCAGTGACAGATTTTCTACCTTTATTTCTGAGAGTGTAGAAGTGAGTGTATACTGTATGGATAGAGAATTTCATCATTGCAGACAAATTAATCACAAAATACTGAAAACTGCTCATTTATAGCTATGTTTCAGATACGGGAGATACAAGAGAGAGCATCTATTATAAGCTGAAGTGTGCTGTGATGTCATTGTCATAGAAAATTGTTGATTCTTATTGGCAAAAGTGAGAAAATGTGCATTCTGAATGCTTTTATCTTCTCAATGTGATTTTTGTCATTGTTTTGGAGCACATTTTCATGTACAGTAGAGGAACTTTCATTTCAGGGCACTTTCATTTTAACTTTAGAGTCACTGGGGAAGGTTTTGAAAAGCACTTTAAAGAACGTGAACCATTGAAACATCTCCCAGGATTTCATGAACTGTTGTTTCAGGGATGTAGATGTTGTTTTTGGGAACAATATGAGGGTGGAGCTGTGCAAAATTGCTCTTCCAGAAAGAGACGGCGCTGATGATGAAGTGGCTGTCAGAAAGTGTTTAGATGTGTAGTGTTTAGATACTGTAGATACTCACTCTGTACTTCTCTTCCACTCTACTGTTGTTCTTACAGTCTGGATGCCATACTGTTGAACCTGAGAGAAAGAGAGAGAGAAAACTATGCTTAACATTCCAGCAATGTACCTTTCTTAATTAAAATAAACTGTTAAATGAAATAAAATGAAATAAAATGTAATTAATTTTGACTTTCATATTAAATTTGATACTTAGAAAAATATATAATAGAACTTAGAAAATGTATACTTAGAAAAAAATAATATAATATAAATATATAATATAAATATAAATGTCTTCCTTTAACTTGTGTGAGACATGTATTTACTAGTATCAGGGCCAAAGCTGGGGGTTCTCTCACTGACAAAGGTCCAGAATTTGTCCCACACATAAGCTCATTTGTCCTATTTTGACTGCTATGCCATCATAAATAGTAAAAATAACCCATCGAAAAATGCTTTAAGACCAAGCAGAATCCTGGTGTGACTTCAGTTAATCAGTTTTGGCCAATGCAAACAATTATTTTTTAAGAGTCCAACATCCAGCTGTGTAAGAAAACATCTGACATAAGCGAAGTCATCTTTCGCTACTGTATTGTTTTTAAACAGAGAAAGCATTTGACTTGTAACTTTCATTTTAAATCTTGGAGCTTATTCTTGAAAGAATGACCAATAAAAAAGTGTGAAGCACGAAAGGCGGCTTATATTAAAATCAATTATTTTGGCTATTATCCATAAAAAAAAGATTCTCAAACAATTGTAAATCTCTAAGTTATTTATTTTATATTAAAGAAAAAAAGAAGCACCCCTTTGCCAGACTGGCTACGGGCCAGAGTATACATGCATTTACAGTTTTGTTTTATTTTATAATGGATGAAAAACAAACAATAAGCGGTATTTGCATGTTTCAAGGTTTACTAGTGCAGTTTTGTAACCTTTTCACAGAAAGTTCCAGCAACTCTCAGTCTTGTGTCCTACATGCAGGGGCGCAACTGCACATTTACTGATGGGTATGCGGCTTCAACTTTTACGCGCCCCCCTTTCAATCCAACTATATTTTATAAACAGGCAAGTGATAAAATGTGGAAAATATTTCCATCAATAAATTAAAGATATTTTTTCATAAAGATATCAATATGCTTCAAAAAAATACAGTTTCGCATTTCTGAACACAACTGAAATAGTATGAAGTAGTACATTAAGCATGTTAGAACATTGCAATTACTTCTCACATGCATACTGTGAGAAGTGTAAGGTCTGTCTTTGCAAGAACATTGATTGAAACTGCTAAATGTTAAATAAAAAAGACTGTCAAATGTTCAGTGTAAAAAAAAAAACAGAAACAAACAAATGTTCTGATTAATTGAAATGTTATAACTTTGTTTGTAGCTAAAATTAAAATAGTTTCAAGCTAAGAAGTTACCAAAAGGCCTGATGAATCAATATGATGCATAATAAATTCATAAAAACATGTATATGGTATGAAAAATGGGGGTGGGGGGGTGTTGGGTGGAATGATTTTTTAATTTAATAAAATACAATATTATACGCGTATAAAATGCTAAATAAACATTTTTAACATATATATATATATATATATATATATATATATATATATATATATATATATATATATATATATATATATTATTTAAAACTTTTAATATGGATAATTTCAAAAATAGTTTTGGCACAATGGCGCCCCCCATGTGTGGCGCCCCTATGCGCCGCATATACTGCATACCTCCTTTTTGCGCCACTGCCTACATGCAGCTCACCCTGTACTGTAAAAAATGATATGACAAAAAAGTAATGACTACAAAGGTTTTTGAGTTACTTTATCTTATTTTAATGAGTTAATCAGGTACCAACTACATTTTTAAGTTATGTAAAGTTTAACATAATATTTTTGCCCGTTTTGCATAAATTAAGATGAAAAGAAAAGTTTGTTTGATTCAACAACAAAAAAAAGGCATCAAGTTTTTTTTGCAGTGTGTACATACATATCCTTTTAAACCTGTTACCAAAGTTCCTTAAAAAATATTATACATGGAAATTATATTTGAATATATAAAATAAATGCATGTATCCCTTTAATTTGTGTAAGAATGAATTTACAAGTACTGTAATTACAATTTCATTAAATTTAAATTTAAAATTTAATTAATTTGATTGTAAACCTAATTTAGCTGTATGTATATGTTTAAATGGTTGCAAGAATTGTTTGTAACCTTTTTACAGAAAGTTTCAGCCTAAATGTATCGTAAATGTAGCTCACCCTGTAGGTACATCTCCTCTCCCTCCGTGAACATCTGATTGCACCTGCTGCATCTTGCACAGCTTGGATGATAGTGCTTGTCTCCTGCCTGTGAGGGAAAAGGTCAATATTCAGTGGTCCACAAAAAAATTAAACACAAATTTCCTCACATCCATGAAAAAACAGTCTGTGCGAAACCGAACAGGTGTGCTGTCACTTCACTGCACTTCACTTCTTCTAAAAAGAGATCCTTTTCTCCTGCTTCCCTCTCATTCTTTCACTTTGCATCACTCCATGTCTCTGTGTGTGTGTGTTCACAGTGAATGAAGCTCTGTTCAGATCTGCAGAGTCACTGTTTGCACACACACACTATCCCATCTTGCATTACACAGCCACACAAAAATACCTTTCTGACCTCCGGATGCTTCCAGGTCACAAAAGAAGCAAAGAAGGCTGTGAAACAAATATCTTTAGTGTTTAACCTTTCCATCTTTTTCTTAAAATATGAAAAAATGGGATGTTCAAGTTTGTATTTGGATGAGAGGTTTTATTTTTTTTAAAACCCTTTTAAACAATGTAGTGATGTTGCAGTTGGAAGACTTTCTAACCTCAAGATCCAACTAAGTTCTTCAGGTCTCCAGCTGTGATTCTTGGAGATTTTTTAACCAGTTGAACCATTCAATTGACAGTAAATTGGAATAATAGAAACAATTATTCTTTAAACTTATTCATAACACTTCCAGTTGAGTGGACTTTCTTAATTATTGCAATTTGGCGTTAATAGGTATTTTCAGTGTTTTTCCTATTTTTTTATATACACTTATAGCTATTTTATGAAGCTCAACAACCCCTTGACCCAAATAACAGGTCTGTTCTGGGTTTACCCATTGTGATGGATAACTCAGTGAGTTTGGGCTATTTTACATTGTATGTAAAGTCCTATAAAACAGAAGGGATTGTTGAAAAATGTACAGTTCCTTTTACCCGTTGTTATGCTACAAATAATACATTTAAATGACAGTATATTTACAAAATATGCTGTTGATGTGAATATATTAGGGTTCCAATAATTAAGAAACACATTTATTTAACATAATATAATATAATTGTAATGTTATTGGACACTGACAAGGCCAATGTGGATCCAAATGCAGGTTTATTCAAGAGAGTTGTCATACAAACAATTGTCAGAGCAGGAGCAAATAGGTACATGCAGGGAATTTAAGAACGTAGTCATAAACAGGTGGATGGTCAAAAGGCAGATTAGACAGGATTGAACAATAAAAACAAAGCAGGGCAAGACAGGGCAAGGCTAAGCAAAGCAAAGCAAAGGCATCGCAATGTCATAGATACGCAGACTCAGCCTAGAAGTGTGTGTGTGTGTGTTTGTGTGTGTGTGTGAGTGTGCTGTATTTAAAGTCCATGTAATCAGTTTATGAGCAGCTCACAGGCCGTATGTGTGTAATCAACCGAATCTGGAACTGGTGCGTGTGAGCGGTGCATGACTAGATATGTAGTTCATAATGTGGCGGATTTGTAGTTCTCCAGCAAACTGCGTGATTACTTGTATTCTGCAAGGCTGGATCGCTGGTGATTGTGATAAAAATATAGTAAAATATAATATACAGGGTTCTTCTTGAAAGTAAGTGAATTACAGACATATGAATTCAAGGGTTGGGAAGTATTTGAAAGCATACATAAAAAAGTGCTTATATTAAATTTTAAATTTAGGGCTTGAACCAGCGACCTTCTATATATAGCACTAGCACTACCTACTGCGCCACCACGTTGCCATAATATAATTATTTAAATATATAAAAAAATATAGAATTTTGATTAGTTTGTAATTGTTTGTCCTCATTGAGAGCTGAAGGTTTTTTTTTTTTTTAATTTGCTCATATTTACCAAAGTGGAGGGCACTGAACATGCATATCTTTTACAGTTGTAGATGTAAATAATGTTGCAAAGCCTGAGCCTGAGCCTGCATCATTCATTTGAGCATGTCAAAAGCATGCGTGCAAAGTATCATAACATGTCCGCCAGACTCAGTTGTGAGCTGGATTGCTGATAGGGGAGAGCAGGGAGGTTATAGGGAGCTGAAGGGCTTGATAAACACTGCAGTCTGTCTGTCAGACTCTTCACTTCTTTAAGGTCATTCTTAACCATAAGCGGAAAAATATGGATATGATCACAAGGAGACCTTCTGGGTAGATGTAGAGGTTACTGATAGTTGCACATACTTTTTTTTTTGCAAACAGTGTTACTGTTTACTCTATCTTAAGTAATTTTGCTTCTCAATTAAAAGCATTTTATTTACAAATATTTAGATGCTGTAGCTGCATTCTCTCTCTTTTTTTGCAGTTTAAATGAAAAATCATTGACCTTTCAATTTAATGTCAAGTAGCACAACAGTTTACAACATTGATATCAAGAATTAATAACATTTTTCCAACTTGGAGAATCCCTTTTTACTGTAAGCTATTAAATTACAATAAAAAATATAGTAAATAGTAATTCTCCTGTTATAAATATTCCTGTTATAAATGTAATTGAAATCAAATATGAGCTGTCTTAGTGAGCAGAACATAAGAAACAGTATACTGACCCCAAACTGCAGAGTAGTGTAGCATAGTCATAGCTCAAGGTGCAGTGCATTCCACATAATATTCATAACATGTTTCACTCTCACTCTGTGTGTGTGTGTATATGAGATCATCACTCTCGGTCATGCAGCACACAGCTGTAAGTGATCTGCAGGAGTGTTTCATCATTCTGCTGCTTTTAGTTAACTCTGGGAATGCTGATGAGCCCTGCAGTTCTGACATCTCTCTCTCTCTCTCTCTGTCTCTGTCTCTCTCTCTCTCTCTCTCTCTCTCTGTCTCTGTCTCTCTCTCTCTCTCTCTCTGTCTCTGTCTCTCTCTCTCTCTCTCTCTCTCTCAGCTTCAAAACCTCATTAAACCCTTGGTTCTTGAGACATTTTGTCTTATTGTTTTTTTTTTTCTTTTTGATTTGTACCCTTTATTTCGTTCTTAAATTCTCCCAATAAACTAACATTCTGCCAGTAATTACTGCACGTCATGTCATTCAAAGCCTGTATGACTTTCATTAGAGGTTTGAAGGATAGTCAGAAATTTCTTTTCCATTTAATGGATGCTCGCTAAAGTTGTGACAAACTGATATAATCAAAATAGCATTAATACTACTCTATTTTATCAGTGATTTTGTTGGCTCAGAAAGTCTAAAAATTAACAACAAAAGTCCTGTAGCAAAACATGTTTCCATCCAAAGCTGCAAATTTAACGAAGGGTTGGGCGATTTGGCCCCGATTTGGTTCTGAATGTCGATTTTTGATTACTTTTCGATTCATCTTCCAGCCCTTTATTTATTATTAATATTATTATTATTTGAGGTAGTTGTTTGGGAGTGTTCTTGATATTAATTAGCATTTTTTTTTCTTTGAGGCTAACTCTGCCTTGCACCTATGGCTAATTCCGTGTTGTCGGCTTATTAAGCGGAAGCTGAATGTGCGTCTGGGTGGCTTTTTGTTTCGATCGCATATCTGGCTGATCCTCCTGTTTTTTGCTCTGTTGCGAGCATGACCCACTCGCAGAGAATCTTTACGTATCTTGCTGTCCTGTTGAAGGTTTGAGAATTCTGTGCGTGTCTCGTGCAGCCGCTGCTGAGGAGCCATGCTGGTGTTGTTGCTGTTTGTTTCATTCTTTTTTATTTGTTTGTTTGTTTAATTATTTTGATTACGTTAATATTGGTAAAAGACATGTATTTTTGTCTCTAATTGTTTTTCTTGAGTTGCGTGTCCTTTTTATCTTGCTGACCCCTCCCTAGATGAGCCTTATGAATTGGTGTTCGTAACTAGTGGTGTAGTCCTAGAAAAAAAGTTGGTGTACTATTACACCAGACACAAATTTTAAATGAAAGTAGGCAAAGAAACGACGAAAATCAATGTTTCTTCGATTCATTTGAGGTTTTTATATATATATATATATATATATATATATATATATATATATATATATATATATATATATATATATATATATATTTTTTTTTTTTTTTTTTTTTTTTTACATCAGTTACCTGTATTTAAGTTAACTCAAAAGGGCCTGTGCATACATGGAAAGACAGCTTTTTAGCTTACTTTCTTTACTGGCTTGTTACTTTACATTTTATAGATCCTTTAAACATCAATCAGCAATTATTTTTAATTGTCACATTTGTGCATGCTTGTTTTAAACCAAACTATTAGGAGTCTGTCTTCTGTTGTCGCGATTATATACTAGTGGTTACCCTTTTAAATCGCACATTGTTACGTGATTCATGAGTAGTGTTTGCCTAATTGTTTTTAGTGTTATATACGGTATAGTGTCGTTCACTAGCGGCACAATTAAGACAAATGTGAAATACTGTTTTACAGGGGCGATTTTAGGATTTTAATTTTAGGGTGGATCATAATCAGATCCTTTTGGGGTAAACAAAGAAAAATGTGTCATATATATTTAAGTAAGAATTGTAAGAAATAGGCACATCTTAACAAATTAAGAGTTAAAAAAAAAATCTGTTTGGTATACAGTTAAAGGGGACGCAAATACATGTAAATTAGGGGAGATTAATCTGAAAAACAAGTGAATATTCTGAGGGTATACTCAATTATTGATCCTCAGAAATGGTAATACCCAAACAGCTCATGGAAAAAAGTAAGCATACTGAGTATACGTGCGTATAGCAAGGACTACACCACTGTTCGTAACACATGTGCTATAAGTGAACTGGGTAAACAAAAGTTGGCTGTAGTGTATGATTATGAGTGAATGTGAAAGTGTATGGGTGTTTCCCAGTAATGGGTTCCTGTTGGACGGGCATTAGCTGTGTAAAAGATATGGCGAATTAGTTGGCGGTTCATTCCGCTGTTGCGACTCCTGATAAATATGGGAATAAGCTGAAGGAAAATTAATGAATGAATGAATGAAATTGTCTTTTTGTCAAAAATAGTTCTAAATTAGCTTCAGACAAGTTCAAATATGGCACAGAACCACTTCTACAATAATTCACAGCTTCACATTCTTTCCAGTGTAATTCATGAAAAAAAAAAAG